GCTTAGGGCTTAGGGTTTACGGTTTGGGGTTCATTGTTTAGGGTTTAGGGTTTAGAGGGGGTGCTTTCGAGGGTTCAGCAAACAATCAAAAACACTGGAAGCCTGCAATAGCCCGCTAAAGCTCCATGCAAAACTCCCGTTCACCCTGAACCCCTAAGCCCCAAACCCCTAAACCCTAAAGTCTAAACTCTAAACTTCCTAAATGGGGGTTTCAGAAAATAAGGGGTACCTTATTCTGGGGTCCTTATAATAAGGATCCTACTATTTAGGGCATTTAGGGTACTATATTAGGGTCCCCTATTTTCGGAAACCCCCAACTGCAACATCCCTTACACCGCCGCCTGCTGCTTCACCTGCCCGGCGACGGTCTGCTCAACGCGCTGCGTGCCAACCTGAACCAATTGAGGATTTAGGATTTAAGGCTTTAGTGGTTTAGGCTTTAGGGCTTAGAGTTTAGGGGTCAGGGTTTGGGGTTCAAGGTTTAGGACTCAGAATGTTGTTTTAACTTTAAAGCAGGCCTTTAAAGAGGAGTTGTTGCGGGTGCTGTAACTGCAGGTTGCCGGGCGTTCTGAAGGGTGTCTTTACGGGGGGTGATGGGTGGGTTGGGTCTGCGGTTCCAGTTACCCAAATAAAGGGTGCTTGGACTGGAATTTGAAAGGGGCATGTGATTCGTAACCTACTGCTTGGCCTAGGGCCTAGAAGGGGAGGATCTGGAATCTGCTTCAGTTTAAGAGCCTGAGAAACCGATGGCTCAGGGTTTACTACTCTACAGCTGAAATCTGTACAGGAAGGCTCTACGGCTTGAAGGGAGCTTCGGGAGAACCCGAATTGCATGAAGCCTCACCTAAGCGCCTTCAACCGGAAACCCCAAACTCAGCCGCAAAACCCCGAAACCCCCCCATCTCCCAGGATCCCCGAAACCTGATCCTAAACCCCCATTACGGAGAACTCGAAGTTTGAGAGACGAGCCCGTGCATCCAAGCAAACCCTGTTGCGCTCTTGAGAAGCTGGTACCAAACAGGTCCTCCGATACTTGCGGGTTTAAGGCTTTGGAACCTACCCCGAACCCTAAACCCTAAACCCTACACGCAAAACTCCAAACTCCGAGTTTTGGGTGAGTACAGGCCCCAGGCCTTGCATTGCAGAAAGAAGCCCTTTTCAAGATCGATGAACACTTGTTTTGGTTTCAGGTGTTAGGAGTATCAAACTGTTGCTGTAAAACACCTGCACCTGCACTCTGCGCACTGAAGCCCTGAGATGCACCCTAAACATCTGTGCCCCACCTGAGGGGGCCCATCGACTTGCTCGGACTTGCCGGCAACATACTGGGCCTCGCCATCCACCTGTGGCTCCCAGAATTCGCGGTCTGGGGCTTGGGGCTGATCGGGTTTGGGGTGTGGTCTGTGTTTGGCATCGGGCTTCTATCCTTGAGGGCTGAGCAAGAGTACCAGCAACAGCAACCTCACCATCTTCGTTTCCACCATCACGATGGCCAAGCACGCCACTGCCGCCAGACCTATCGTTACTCTCTCCTCTCGCCAGCATGTTCTTGAGAACCGGGATCATACCACTTACAGCAAGCTGGTCAATAGTAACATTAAATACTGGTAAAGGCGAGCATCACTGCCAAAACAACGAAAACCCTAAACCCGCTAAGGCCCTAAACCCTAACCCCCCCCCCNNAACCCTAAACCCTAAACCGCAGAGGCTCTAAACCCTAAACCCTAAACCCTAAACCCTAAACCCTAAACCCTAAACCCTAAACCCTAAACCCTAACCCCCCCCCCCCGAAACCCCTAAACCCTGAATCCTGAACCTTAAACCCCAAAAATGTAAGGCTCCCGAAGCTCGATGCCTGGACCTGCTGGAAGGACGCCGGGAACTGCCTTGGCCGGTTTAGGCTCACTTTAGGGCTGCTGGCTGAAGGCGAAGGCGTCACATAGGGGCTTTTTAAAATTAGAACAGGGCTGTGGGGCATGTCACAATATGCGACAAAAAGGAACTAAAAGGAACAAGATTTGCAATTATTTATGCATCTACAATCGCGTGGTGTGATTTTGCCTCCGGTTGCCCAGTCTATTTAGGATGTTCACTCCGCGACAATGTGGACCCTACCAGTAGGAGGATTCAGAGTGGCATGTTTTTGAGCTCGCAAACGGTCTAACGTTCCAGTTCGGACAAGTTGCGTCGCAACGGCGCCGGTGGGGTCCCTGACGCTTTCAATGGGGATCTTCACCTGTCAACGAGACTCACACACCGCAGCAGCTTTCGGAACACGGCTCCAGAAACCACGGCCTGGTACGTTTGGCCCATGATCGTCTGCCCGGGCAGTGGCTCGCCAACTTGGGCTTGGGCCGGTGCGGCGAAGACGGGTGCGCCCTCGGATGCGCCCGGTGCACCCTCCATGGGTGCGGCAAAGGTGTAACCAGACTCTGGGCCGGTAGCAGGGTCAGCGGCGGGGACAGCATACATGAAACCGGGGCCTGGCATGGGAGCCTCGGTTGTGGGAGCTGCCTCCATGGTGGTCCCTGGCGGGGCAGCATACATGTAGCCTGGGGGAGGCTGGTTTGCTGGGACGGCCTCTGGCATGGGGTAGACGAGACCGGGACCCGGAGCAGGCTGCATTGTGCCCATGGGAGCCACAGTTTGGGCTGGGAACTGTCCGGTGATCGGCTCCATCAGCATCTGCTGGCCGGGCATGGCTGTCACCTGAAATCAGCACTAAACCGCAGAAACTCCACAGTTCAAACGGAGAAGCTCCATACACAACGTGGCTCCAATGGCACCGGAATCCGCAAAGCAAGTGTAAGTGAAGCATGATCGTATAGAAGTATAGACATAATAAGGAACCCCATACTAACCGCTTGTGATATCCTCATAGTCTACCTTTACTCAAATCTTCTCAGCATCCAACAGGAGTGGCACCGACGGCTGCGGCCATGTTGACAAGTAGAACCTCGCTGGGCACGGAATCTTGACACGCACTTTCTGAGACGACCCCTTAGCCTGGGGTCTACAAAATTCGGAACCCTGTAAATCGTTAATCCCGACCCCCTGAAGCCCAAACCCTCTCAACTCCCAAACCCCTAAGCCCCAGACCCTAGATCCCTGGTTTGCCCTTTGTTCTCTTCTCTTCTCCCCGACATGCTGAGGCCGCGGCTGGCTTGAAGGTTCAGGGAGTGCCACAGCTACGGGGGAGATCTCAGGGCTCTGGGAGAGTCCTAGAAAGTGCAAGATGGAGGTGGTTGGGATCGTAAGTAAGCACACGCACCCTCTCACCTCTGAGTCAAAACAGCTGCGTCGTGGACAGTGCTGCGCAAAGCATGTCACAACCGATAGTGGTATGGGCACGGAGCAGAAACATGTAAAGCTCTGGAAACCCAAATACAACCCTGCGCCACAGATGCACTTGAATCCAAGGCCGTCCCGAGCCACACACCCTCCTTTCTGCTCGTGGCATCTGTCGTTGTCGCAGAATATGCAAAATGGGATCGTTTGCAATGCAACAGTCGGGAGGGATCGCCACAGTGGACGACAGAGCAGGATATAGAAAAAGCAGAAACCTCGTAAGGGGCTGTCATGTCAACATCAACTACGCAGGACTGTCATGGATTCTTCGTGCAACTGCTCAGCTGCTCTTTGCTCTTAAAGTTTCACCTCAACCCTAAAGCCGGAATCCTAAACCCTAAACCCTGAGCTTTAAAGCCTAAACCCCAAACCCTGCAGGTTTCACAAGGTGTCACGCTTTGGGGTTTTGGTTTTGGGATGCGGCTTTAGGGTCTTAGTTTCATGCAGCCCAGAGAGCTTTCCAAAATTTCGGGTTTAGGGTTTAGTGGCTGGGTCCCTCACACCCTAAATCCTAAATTCGAAACCGGTCCCCAAACCCGAAACCGGGGTGCAATCAAACTGCTGTAGGGCTTATAGCTCTAGGCTTTTGGACAGCAAGTCTATAGAAGTTTTGTAGTCGGACGTAATGTTTTCTGACTCCGCACAGATAAGTCAGCATGCCATGGCCTAATCAGGCTCCGAACGACAAGCGCACTCAAGGGAACCCTGATTCCCGTCTATGTAGCATCTCAACCCCTAAACCCTAAACCCTCAACCCTAAACCCTAAACCCTAAACCCCAACCCTCCACGACCTGCAGATCTTCTGATGTAAAACTCGCAAACTCCAGCCAGCATCGAGCTTGAAGAACTGAAAAGCTGACCCCTGACCCTAGGGTTTAGGCTTTGGCTTTAGGCTTTAGGGGTTTAGGGTTTAGGGTTTAGGGTTTAGGGTTTAGGATTTAGGGTAGGGTTTAGGCTTTAGGGTCGTGTCCGTCGGTGTCGTTGTCGGTTACCAGGGCGCAGATTCCAAAGACTCAAAACCTTAAACCCTGAACCCTAAACCCTAACCTTAAACCCTATAACACCCTGAAGACCTCGGGGCCTAAGCCAAAACCCCGAAAGCTCTAACGTCTACCACAGGGCCCTGAATGTATAATTAGACTGGGATTCCTTTAAAGGGGGTTCTTAGAGGGCTTCTTGAAGGGGTTTGTAGGGTTTAATATAGGGGCCTTCATGTTTAGAATAGGGTTGGGGGTTTGCTATATAGTATTATAAATGAATTAAGGAACCCTCAGGACAGGACAAGCAATTATTCATGTTTCTCTTCTTAGGAGGGGCCACATAGACATTGAAAGCTTTTAGACTTAGAACGACCTCGAACTCGACAAACCAGAGCAGGTCTTCGTCACGCTCGTGCTGAAAGGGAGATGCGTTGAAATCAACCAATTTAGTGCTCTTTTGGGGTTCGGCCAGGTCACGGGCGAACCCCGAGCAGCTACGATGCAAAATGATAGGCCGGGAAGGCTTTGGGCAACACCAGAAGCTGCCCTGTGCAAGAAGGCGACCTGTCTGAACCCCCTATATCCCTAAAACCTAATTCCGGCTTTGCAATTCTTTCCCGGCCCCAGCTGCCAACAGCAGCAAGGTGAAATGTTCAGAGCCCTGCCTCTTCGGGAAAACGATCAGTTGCCCTTGCCAATCACGTGGCTGAGGCCTCTAGACTCTAGACTGCCTATGTATGTGGATAGGGTAACTGAACCAGCCGGTTACAGTCAGTGGCGGAGTATCTCCACAACCCTTTCCTCACGTCCTAGGCCTTATCATGAGTCCTGGATAGCTTCCGAAAGCAGTGCTACACAACGACCTCGCAAGCGCAGCACCAGGAGCATCAGCAGTGCCAGCTTCCACACAACAATCCCAGAAAGCACTGCAATCCCAGAAAGCACAGACCACAGATTGTGGGCATCAGCAACTACAGTTTGCACACAAACCAAGCACAAAAAAGGCGTCCATCATAAGTGACACACTTCCCAAGGAAAACTGACAGGTGCAGGATTATGAGCATCGGCAGCAACTCTCGCAACGCAAGACCAGCGAGGACGGCATCATGAGCATCGAGCGCGACAGTTCCCTCGCCCCTTTAAACAGCATCACCAGCGGCAGTTTCGAGACAGCGTGAACATTTCCACAACTATCCTCTGTTGCATGCAGAGCTGACACGGCTCCTTTGGCACTATCCTCATCACAGCAAATTCCGAAACCCTCAAAAAATCCTAAACCCTAAAACCCCAAAACCCCAAAACCCTAAAACCCCAAGCCCAAAGCCCTCAACCCTGAAATCTCCCTCACCCGAAGTCCTGAAGCCTGATACCGGAGTCTTGGGCAACGGCCACATCATTCCGAGATAAAACCCCTAACTTACAGGGCTTCTTACGGGGATCTATAAGGGTTTCCCGTAGGGTTGCTGTAAGGGTTCTTTCGGGTTTAGGGCTTAGTGGGGACTTACTAAGCTCAGTTATAAGTACCTTAAAACTGGGGATATAACTACTTAGAAGCACAGCTACCGTATTTATAAGCCTAGGTACCAAGTCCCTTGAACCTTTAAGTGCTTCCTTAAGGCTGGAGGATTCGCACGAACCTGATTAAGAAATCCTGGCCCTATAACCCAAACATGTTGAGCAAAATATTAGGATTCATATAAAGAACGCAGATAAAGACACGGTTTCTTGACCAAGTCCGTATATTAAGCTTTCCTACTGCCTCAGTCTTCTCGGTGACTGGCATCAGGTGGGGGACAGGGCCTCGCGAACTCTCAGAGACCCTCACCTCTGAGCCGAAATGTTGCATCTCGTGCGCACTCGCACGGCGCTCGCCGTTTGCTTGAGACGGCATGCCAGTTGTCAAGAACGGGCCGTCTCAAGGTCGCACCTGGCAGAGGGATACGAGGCTCTCGGCTCAAAACGTAATCGCTGCTACTCATGCGCCGGTGCTTCTTCTGGCACTGCAAAAAAACTGGCTTTGGACCGTTCAGAAATCACAGCAACGAATCCTGTTCTGCAGCCGCCACTTCCGGCCGAGGCCTCCAACCTTCTACCCTGAGATCGGCAGCCCTTATAAAGCCTCCAGCCAGACTCTGAACCCCCCCAGGCCCTCGCCCAAGTCCTGACATGACCACTAAAACCTAAACCCTACACCCTGACCCACCCCCCTCCCCTAAACCCTAAACCCAAAGCCAATCCTGAACTCCTCAACCCTACAGCAGCCCGTCCTGCCTTGAACCCAGATCCTCCCATATCCCTTAATTAGAGACTTAAACTATAGAAGGATCCCTACGATGATAGAACGCATATTCCTCAATCTGGGAACCCCCGAATCCAATTCCTGCGGGGTTGTCAGGACCGGAAACCAACCCCCAATTCCAATATCCTAAACCTGTTCGTAAAATCCAACTGCTCGAAAGCCCCATAGCCCTTTCGAAACTGCACAAAAAGCCAACGGAAACTCTTCAAAAGCCTATACAATCCCGAAAATCCTCAACACCAAGTTTAATATCCGACCCAAATCTTAGCACGTTTAAACAATGGCCCTGCTCCTCACCCCCTTCTTAGGGTTTGGGTTTAGGGTTTAAGGTTTTAGGGTTTACGGTTTAAGGTTTAGGGTTTAGGGTATGCCCCGATCCTGGATCTTTAAAACCCCCACCACCCCAACGAATGCATTAGAGCGTGAGGCGACATGGTCGAGCCTGAATAATCACAGCAGAATAGGGCTCTGGGGTCTACTATACTACCACCAGGGATCCTAAGGAATAACTGGACTAACAGCGATACCCTAAACCCTAAACCTTAAACCCCTAAACAGCGACCTCTACATCAGAACTCGAGGTCTGCCTTTGCCTCCTCCCATGGAGCCCTCGCTGGGGTCCTCACTGAGCCTGCCCGGTGGCTTCTGACTTGTTTGGCTTAAGTATGGGTTTAGGGTTCAGGGTTTAGGGGGGTTTAGGGTTCAGGATTCTTGTTGAAAGTGTTTCTAGGAGGCACAGGGTTTTCAAAGGCTTACTGTACTGACTTGTGTGGCTCTGCTACGCTTCCTGGACGGGGTTCTCACTTGCCGCCTTACAGGGTTTTGTGCGGCTCTGCAGGTCTCTGTCCGGGCTCTGTGTAAAGGTCCTTACAAGGTTCTTTTCGGGCTAGAGCTTTGAGTTTAGAGCCCTTTGGCTCCCCTAAACCCTAAACCTCAAATACTAAGCCTCGACCCCTGTCCAGTGCGGCTTTTTGTTTGAGCTCCGTTTTCGGCTTTAGGGTTTGGGGGTTTACCGCTGTGGGGTTCGGGCATAAGCCTTCGCTCAGTGGCACGGAAGAAGCCGCTTCCAGGC